AAGCAACGAAAATTGAACACATTCCCGTTCCTGAATTCGCATGCCGTGCATCAGTTCTGGCCAAGACGAGATTTGGCATTGTGTAAGGAGACGCACATATTTTTTATTCATCTGAGATAAGTCGTTCGTGGCGGCAAGGCGATAAAGAGATTTGGGTGACAAGGAGTCTCCTAGACACAGGAAAGAGTAAAACACAACTACGAATGGAAGAAGACAAACACGACGAGAAAAACGAAGGGCTACGTCCTCAACCCAGTATCTCCACTAACCGTCTGGACGAGACGTGGGCATCTACTTATTCTCATCACTCGCCATTATTTCAAGTCTTCTATCATAGACGGGAGCATGGTGCTTTTGTTGGTGGTGCTATCGGGTCCCGATGAACCCTTGTACCGTCTGGTCACCTTTGAGCTCATTTCGGCCCTTTCTGTCGTTCTTGTATCTCTTGAAACAACGAGACAGGACAAGTTCGGATGGTAGAGACTGCAAGAGTCATAATCAATACAACAACGGAAACACAGAAAGCTGGGCACCATGTGACACGATACAGACTAGTCCCTGCGACGGGAGGACGGTGACTGGAGGATCGGAGTCTCGCAAGGTCTCCTTTTATGGCAGCCTCCTCGTCTTTCTCGCACCAGCTACCAATGCTCATATGTGGGCTGCTCGTGAAATGGTACGCGCTGGATACCGTGATCTATCTATGCTGTGCACCTCGATCTCTGTGAACGGGGACACCACATAAAACTTATATACCAATTACCGGTACTTGGAATTGCTGGCCCAATAAGAGGAGATGACGTAGCACATTGTATGGATTTGTGAATATTTTGTACTTAGGACTGGCTTATCTGGCTGATGGCCCTCAAGGAGCAACGCAACTGTTGCGTTGTGTAGACAATGACGGCCGTTACCACATGAGTATGAGATACTGCGTAAATACAAGCATGCATATTCAAAAACACAATTAGTGTCTTGAAGCTTGAGTGTTTGCTATGTGGGATAGACGTTCGGCCGGTAATATCATGGGCGGTTGCATGGCTTATGTCCAGTCTGTGTCTGTCCGATATGCTCACCGATTGTTGTACAAGACACGAGCCGTCCACTCACTCGGCCGTTCGAATGCCACGAGAGGAGCGGCTGTCTCTCCAGCTGGAAGACGGAGAACTACAGGTGCAACAAAAATAAAACAAATGCACGACCCACGCGAGTCAAACGAGATATCCTCCCGGAGTCGTTTTGTCGCCTTCGGTTTCATGTATCTGGGAGTTTCTTGTTTATGCGGGATGGCGAATGTTTCGCTCCCGCCTCAACTAACAACTCATCAACTTTCCGGCTGCCCCGAATTGTCGACGATGACAGGAACCGCCTGTCCCGCTTACAATGCCGTCCGTTCACTTTTCAGAGTCTCCTAGGACGGTGGACAGACAAAACCTGGGCTTTATTGTCGTACTGGTCTCCTGGACTGGCCTAGCAAGACCAGCTACTTGTTTAGCTGCAGATATAAAAGAGGCAACAACATACAAATTTGAGTGTGATGTACGTTCTATTTTTTTATAGACTACCAATGATACCAAATAATAACACAAAAGCTGGTACAGGACATAAAGTAGTAAGAAGCGCCGTAGGTAGCAAATGGACAAACAGAAAGCCTAAACGACTGAACGAATGCATCACGTTCAAACACTCCTTCGTTCCCCAGCTGTTCCCTTTTGCTAGGCCTAACCGAACGTAGCAACTGTGATAGGAGACCAGAGAGGGATCACAGAAAGAAAAGGTAAGTGTTCGTAGACAAGACAACCGACAAGATGAGATGCCAAAGTGCCTTGAGACAGGGACATGGGAGACGCATAAGGACGGGGTGGGATCACAGAGGCATTTTGCCCGTGAGATGTGATACTGAAATTCACTCATGTGTATGTGCTGTTTTTATGTTAATTCACTACGGTATTTCTGGCAAGCAGAATCTCGACGATCATCCTCGGCGAGGTCTGCAACCTCTTCGTCTCCCGCCCAGCTCCTTCGGTGCGGGACGATAAACCGTTACGCGCGCTTATGTCGAGAGCAAACATTGTCCTGGCAAATCGAAACGAAGCATCTTGGAGTTTGAAACATACAGAACATAGGAAATGGTCCAATAAAGGGTACAGAAACGACAGCTTAGAGGGGCAAGGAGCTGACCTCACGACGTCGGAATTGACGCGGACGCCGGGGTTTTCCACCGCCATGGACATTTATGTGCTCTGCTTTTTTATGTTCGATTTGTTCTCTACTGAATTCTCTGACTGCTGTCTTTAACCCATTTGCAATGACCTACAATGAGGTGCAGTAGCACTCGTAAGGGCCCCCGAGGCCGCCAGCGTCAATATCGTATCATGGGCTTACTTCTACTCGTTGATATGAGAGTTTGAACGGACGTTAGTTTCATCCTTTGACAAAGATCAGAGATTCACGAGCATGGAAAAGCAAGTACAGGGAAACGTGATGGATTACAGACTTGATGTCACAACCGAAGAGCGAAACGTTAGCGAGCAGTCAAGGCAAGGGGATGTGGAGTTGTGACAATGAAGAGCTGGTTGCCCGTGGCCAATTCGGTTATGCAATATGCACACTCAGCCTCGTACTCCACAAGCTGAGAAGAAGCCATAAGACTGGGACAGCGAATAGGGGCTCTTCCAGGCCTTCCAAGTGGTCAATAGTGGCACTGGCGGTGAGAGGCCACGCTCGCATGCGGCAACGGCATGTGCAGACGTGCAAGAAAATCGGAAAGAAAGAAATAAAACGAAAGAAGAAAACCATAACGACTAGGCAACAATAGCAACCGAGCGGACTCACATACCGGCCGAGCTTCTGAGACCCCGACACGCCCGCGTCAGACTTTTTTGGGGCCGTGACTCGAAAGCTGTCTAGACTTGTACGTACGTTGTCCTGTCATGAGCTTGTCGTTGGCTAGTCCTGGATCTGTCAGATTCACTGTAATACCGCCTATCTGGTCTCGGCTCGCATCTTTGTGTTCTTGTACGTCGTATGTCGTGGTTAAAATGAGGGCGAGTCTTCGGACGGACCCCCGGCAGGTTCACGGTGCACAGATCTGAGCCTGCGCTCTGTCTCTGTTGACATGCATTTGTTTGTCCCACGATGGCCATCGGCTGGGACACGCACGTATGAGGCCATGCAGGAAGCAGGGAGAGACAGAGGGTGACGAAAGACGACCAAAGAGCCACGGATGAGTATGGAAGAGAATGGCCTTGGAATAGATACCCAGAAACGGCCAGAAACCCGCGAATATACAGGATGAGAAAGCAATAAAAATACTCAAAAAATACACAAAATGAACCGCAACATCAAGCAACATGCAGGGGCCACACAGAATGGTCATTGCCAAGCTGCCTCTGTTCCCGTAGTCCATGCCCAGCGTAAACGGATCGTTGCTTCACGCGATACGTTCACGGCCGCGATACAGGGCACCGAATCGTGGCCTAGAGTCGTTTTTACCGCTGTCATGTTCGTGTTGTTTGGGTTTGAAAATTCACTTGAGAATTGACGTCGGTAGAAAACGGCTTACATAATACGAGTAACGTGCGAGGCAGTGCGGCTTGCGAAACCGCCGCGTGTGTTCCCCTCCCCCGCCATCACATCATACCTGCTCCACCGGTCTCAGGCCTTGTAAGCTCGGCGTTTCTGGCGATTGGATTGACGAGAACGAGGAACAGGAAGAACAAAGCTCGGAAAGAGCCTCCCCGCTGGACTACGGGCGTGCTCTCGGCGGTGTTTGATGCCGCTCATCGACACCATCCTGTAATACATCTTTCACTTGCCCGTTTGTTCTTGCTGTTTGCTTGTGCCTTGCCTGTCCCCGTAGGTGCGTTCGCGTCCCCATTGGGAAGGCCCCACCACATGGAAGGTACCTTTGCTCCTGCCAGTCTCCTGAGCTCCGCAGTCACCAATCATCAAGTTTTTTCTCGTCTTTTCTGTCGTCTTATGTCCCGGTCTAGAGCTTCTACATAGTTTTTGTTTCTTCGTTGCCTATCGCCGATTCCGTTCGTTCTTCATGTCTCAGTCGCCAACCCATACATCACCGTACATGTACATCCGTCCTGAACCAGGTCTCTTGCAAGCTGGAGAGGATACAAGATACATCGCCTCGTAGGTGCCATTTGTGACATTTGTTGTAGACATGTACCGCTTTCATGGCAGGAGCTCCTCTGCATTGGTATCCACTTCTCACTGCGCCTGTCCTCGGTTACGTACCCTGTACAAGCCAAGCAACATAGTATCTTGCACTGTTCGCACGCATGGATCGACCTTCCCCCTGTAGTTCATACCTTCCGCGCCTTCGGTGTCTGCACGGGAGTAGTACCTTCCTGTTCATCTTGTACCTGCACCTCCTTCCCTCTGTAACTGCTTTGCTTCTCTTGCCGCCTTTGCTTTCCCACTTTCCCATCTCTCCTGTCGCTCCTCCCTTGGCCAGCCGGCCGCCCGTCCTTCGCCGTGTTTTGTCAATAAATACGCCGTCCGCCCCCCTCCGCCCCTCCCCTCTCACCAGAGCTAGTCCTCTTATTTCCTCTCTTCAACACCAACGCAGAACAAGTCCTAAGCTTCCCGCACCTTAGCCTCCACGCCAGAAAATAACGTTTTTTGCTCTTTGTAAGTCTCCCGATAGCTTGGGTGCTGCTCCTGTTGAGACTGCCTGCCGGTGCTCTTTTGTGTGTCCTGTTCCACCCCTCCGCCACCGTCTACCGTCGTCCCGAGCGCCCCGACTAAGCTCCTTTCCCCCGTTCCAATGCACTGTCGTACCGCCCCTCTTATAAAACGCAGAGCTTTCCTCATCTTCCTCTCCACCCCGAGTTTCCCTCTTCTCCCTGCTTCTCTGCTTCTTCCCTCGTCTCTCAATGGCACCTCTTCGACTGGCTCGTACCTTTACCGCACTGACAGCTCCAGCTAACCAAAGCTTCCTCTCCCGTCGCAACACCAGCTTCTTCCACTCTACCGCTTTCAACATGGGTGTCACCAAGACCACGCACCAGGAGGGCACTGGCGCCACCCCCAAGGTTGGCGACCGTGTTACTATTGAGTACACCGGCTACCTCAAGGACACCTCCAAGCCCGACAACAAGGGCAACAAGTATGTGAATCCTGATTACGCCAGTGCTAGCTTGCTGGTCAAGCTACTCTTCATGTCTTATTTCTTTTTATTGTTTATGCTCTCCGTGCTAACCAGATTCTCAACAGGTTCGACAGCTCCGTCGGACGTGGTGACTTTGTCACCGCCATCGGTGTCGGCCAAGTCATCAAGGGCTGGGATGAGGGTGTCGTCCAGATGAAGGTTGGCGAGAAGGCCACCCTGGACATCACCAGCGACTACGGCTACGGTGCTCGGTAAGACGCTCAAAACTCCCCAAACAACCAGTTCAATGAGCTCTCTCGCTTTCTGTCGCTCTCGATACTAACAAAGCTGTCATAGCGGCTTCCCTGGCCACATCCCGGCCAACTCTGACCTCATCTTGTATGTTCCACCCACCCTTCCAACCTGCGTTTAACCTTTTGCACTTGCTATTGGTAGTCAACAATTGGACTAACACCCTTTGCAGCGACGTCCTCCTGAAGAAGATCAACTAAGCGAACGTGTCAGATCAATCCGACAGGGCTAACAGACAATAAACAAAAAGACAAAACCACAAAAAAATTGTGTCTCACATAAATAAAAAATCTACACCCCGGAGAACCGAAATGGTTGCTTAGACGGGGGAGAAGGGGAACGAGGCGGTAGAATACCGACCATCTGTTCCATGGGTTATGTTTCTGAATTTCATAGGACTCGCCATATGTGCGACTGTCAAGTCCCGGATGTTGAAATGGCCGCCAATAAATGGCGTTGCCCCAATACCAAAGTGTTTGCCCTTGAATTCCTGCAAAGTGACGCAATTCACGTGATATCGTGTCGCAGAGAACTCGCCACTCGTTGCATCACCTCTGCTTTCTTGAGCTTTGGTCGCTCATCTGCGCATTATCTGCCTGCATGTCTTCCCACCAGCCTGTGGTTTCCCGCTTGCTTTCTGCTGCAGAAAGAGTTGTATTCTTAAAGACCTAAAGGTCCTTTGTTCCGCTCTTTGTGTCGACACGTCGTAACGAAGAACGGAGTAGAACATTGTAGTATTCTAGGCAGAAAGTGGGGCAGACGGAGGGCAACAAAGGCCCGCCTTGCCCACTAAGCAGGCCGGCCAGGCCTCCCGGTCGACTACAGCAGCTTTAACACCTGTAGGATGCCAATGCCTGGCCTGGTTGCCGCGATGGAAACAGGAGGAAACTGCGAAACAGCGGGGCTGCATTCACAGGCAGGCGAGAGCTGCCTGGGTGGGGCAGCACTGTGTCGTTCCTTCTTTCCTCTGTTTTGTAAGGCGTTCTGCCAATCTAGGACACCCATTGGCTCTGTTCTCGGCGTTATGTTACAAGAGCCAGGACGATCTCGGTGCTATGACCCATCATTGTCTGGAGGACTGTCTGCTACAGAAGTTGGCACCTGCCAGCTGGCTATCTTCAACGTTTCTTGAGGCTTCTTGCCGGTGGACGAATTCTTTTATTTTGTCTTCCGTGCCCACGGTGCCTTCCCGGAGTAATCATTGTCCCAGGCCATGCCTTCCCTCGAAGAGTTGTTTCGCATTGACAAGGAAAGAGCTGCTGGTCGGCCTGTTCACTCGAGTGAGTCGCAGGGCGTAATAAAGTTATTTTGGTCCAGGCAGAGCGGGCAGGCGACTTTTCTTAGAAATCGGTCAGATGAATAATGGGAGGAAAGAGGCCATAAGAGCAACAGAGTTCGCCCTCCTTCCCCTTCGCTTCCGAAAAACCTTTTACCTATCAACTCCAGTTTCATTCAAGCATCCGTCATTCACATCGTCTTTACGAACAACCAAACGTGTCCATTGTCAATTCCAGAAGCTCCCACCGCTGCCAACACGCTCTAGCCCGGCCACAGACCCCGCACAAAGCTCGACACGTCTGTCCAAACGACCGACGTTTCTGTTCTGAGTGGGGTTTGAACGCTCTCTCTGTCATTCTCTCCCTCTTCTTCCTCATCATTGTTCAGGACAATCCTCTTCACCCTCCGCTCCTGTCCCACCACACTTCCTTTTCTCGCGTTTCCGTTCCTTTCTACATCTCATACCTGCCCCGCCAGGTAGAGACCTCCTAACCGAAGCTTTCAAACTGGGGAAGCGAACCCTCTCATCCGGCAGCTTGCCCGATTCGTCTCGAGTCAAAATGACTGTATGTTCCTGTTCACCTCAGCCCACGCCGTCCTATCCTCACCGCTTGTGGGTGCCTTAGCTAACCCCGTCTGCGTGCTCTCTTGTAGGACCAGAAGCTGCCCGAAGTCGACCTTGTCACCAGAATGCAGGTCGACGAGTCCGTCGTCGGTAGCACCGAGATCGATGAGTCACTCTACAGTCGCCAGCTCTATGTGCTGGGCCATGAGGCCATGCGGCGCATGGGCTCGTCGAATGTGCTGATTGCCGGCCTCAAGGGCCTTGGCGTTGAGATTGCAAAGAACATTGCCCTGGCCGGCGTCAAGAGCCTCACCCTCTACGACCCCGCCCCGGTGGCCATTGCCGACCTCTCTTCCCAGTTCTTCCTCCATGTCGACGACATCGGTAAGCCGCGCGACCAAGTAACAGCCCCCCGGGTGGCCGAGCTCAACGCCTATACCCCCGTCCGCATTCATGAGTCCGCCAGCCTAGCAGACAACCTCTCCCAGTTCGACAAGTACCAGGTCGTCGTCCTGACAAATACCCCGCTCAACGTCCAGCTCGCCGTGGCCGACTACTGCCACGAGAAGGGTATTTACGTCATTGTTGCGGACACTTTCGGTCTGTTCGGCTCCTTGTTCTGCGACTTTGGCAACAAGTTTACTGTCATCGACTCCACCGGCGAGAACCCGCTGAACGGTATCGTCGCTGGCATTGACGAGGAGGGCCTGGTGTCCGCTCTGGACGAGACCCGGCACGGCCTCGAGGACGGCGACTATGTCACCTTCACCGAAGTGGAGGGCATGGAGGCCCTGAACGGCTGTGAGCCGAGAAAGGTTACTGTCAAGGGTCCCTACACCTTCTCGATCGGCGACGTCTCCGGCCTCGGCCAGTACAAGCGGGGCGGCCTGTACCAGCAGGTCAAGATGCCCAAGTTCCTCGACTTTAAGAAGCTCTCTGTTGCCCTCAAGGAGCCCGAGTTTGTCGTGTCTGATTTCGCCAAGTTCGACCGCCCTCAGCAGCTGCACATTGGATTCCAGGCTCTGCACGCCTTTGCCCAGACGCACAACCGCCTGCCGCGCCCCCAGAATGCGGAGGATGCCACGGTCCTGGTGGCCTCGGCCCGCGCATTCGCTAAGACGGAGGGCATCGACGTGGAAATTGACGACAAGCTCCTGACCGAACTCAGTTACCAGGCCACGGGTGATTTGAACCCGATGGCGGCGTTCTTTGGTGGTATTGTTGCCCAGGAGATCCTCAAGGCCGTGTCGGGGAAGTTCAACCCCGTGGTGCAGTGGTTCTACTTTGACTCGCTCGAGTCGCTCCCCGAAAAGTTTGAGCGCTCCGAAGAGCTGTGCAAGCCCATTGGCTCGCGCTATGACGGTCAGATCGCCGTCTTCGGTACCAAGTACCAGGAGCACCTCTCCAACGTCAAGCAGTTCCTGGTCGGTGCCGGTGCCATTGGCTGCGAGATGCTGAAAAACTGGGCGATGATTGGTCTTGGATCTGGCCCCAAGGGCAAGATTTTTGTCACAGACATGGACTCCATCGAGAAGAGCAACCTTAACCGTCAGTTCCTGTTCCGCCCCAAGGACGTTGGCCAAATGAAGAGCGACTCGGCCGCCAAGGCAGTGCAGGCCATGAACCCCGATCTTGTCGGCCACATCGATTGTCGGCGCGAACGCGTCAGCAACGAGACCGAGCACATTTTCAACGAGGAGTTCTGGGAGGCCCTGGATGGTGTCACGAACGCCCTGGACAATGTGGAGGCCCGTACATACGTTGACCGCCGCTGTGTGTTCTTCCACAAGCCGCTTGTTGAGAGTGGCACCTTGGGTACGAAGGGCAACACGCAGGTGGTCCTGCCGCTCCTGACGGAATCGTACTCCTCGTCGCAGGATCCTCCTGAGCAGTCGTTCCCCATGTGCACGCTGCGGAGTTTCCCCAACAAGATTGAGCACACCATTGCGTGGGCCCGGGAGCTGTTTGACACCAACTTTGTCAAGTCTGCCGAGACTGTCAACCTGTACCTGACGCAGCCCAACTTTATTGAGACGTCGCTGAAGCAGGCCGGCAACGAGATTGCAACGCTGGAGACGCTGCGCGACTATCTGAAGAACGAGCGGGCGCTGACCTTTGAGGACTGCGTTAGCTGGGCGCGCATGCTCTTCGAGAAGCAGTACAACAACGCCATCCAACAGCTTCTGTACAACTTTCCCAAGGACTCCGTGACGTCGTCGGGCACCCCATTCTGGTCGGGCCCCAAGCGCGCTCCGGATCCGGTCAAGTTTGACGCGACGAATCCGACACACTTCTCGTTCCTGGTGTCGGCAACGAACCTGCATGCGTTCAACTACAACATCAACGTCCAGGGCAAGGACAAGAGCGAGTACTTGGCGGCTCTTGAGAACGTGATTGTGCCTGACTTCTCGCCCGACCCGGGTGTCAAGATTCAGGCGGACGACAAGGAACCCGTAAGTTCACTGGATTACTACGCGGCCAAGGCGTCGTCTCCGCACACCCTCTGCAAACAATACTAACCTCCGAAACTCACAGGATCCCAACGCCGGATCGAGCTCCTTTGACGACGAAAACGAAGTCAGCGACCTGATCAAGACGATCCCGACGCCAAGCTCGATGGCCGGCTTCAAACTGACGCCGGTGGAATTCGAGAAGGACGACGACACCAACTTCCACATCGACTTCATAACTGCTGCGAGCAACCTGCGCGCCGAAAACTACAAGATCGAGACGGCCGATCGGCACAAGACCAAGTTCATTGCCGGCAAGATTATACCCGCCATTGCGACCACGACGGCGTTGGTGACGGGCCTGGTCGTGCTGGAGCTGTACAAGATCGTCGACGGCAAGACGGACATTGAGAAGTACAAGAACGGCTTTATCAACCTGGCTCTGCCGTTCTTTGGCTTCAGCGAGCCGATTGCTAGCCCCAAGGTCGAGTACCAGGGACCCAACGGCAAGGTGTCGCTGGACAAGATTTGGGACCGGTTCGAGGTGCCGGACTTTACGCTGCGGGAGCTAATCGACGACTTCTCGAGCCGTGGCCTGACGATTTCGATGCTGAGCTCGGGCGTCAGCCTGCTGTACGCATCCTTCTTCCCGCCCAGCAAGCTCCAGGACAGATACAGCCTGAAGCTGAGCAAGCTGGTGGAGACAATCTCGCGGAAGCCGATTCCGGAGCACCAGAAGGAGGTCATCTTTGAGGTTGTGGTCGAGGACCTGAACGAAGAGGATGTTGAGGTCCCGTACATCAAGGTCAAGGTCCGGTAAAGAAACAGGACGGGAAACAACAGAGGATTGGCTGGGACGATTAGATTAGAGACTGCTTGTACTTTGCAACATCTTGGGGTGTATTATCGGATTCACGGCATGTTCGCGTGCCTTTTTCATTTCTATTCCATTCAGTCTTCTGCTTGCGCTGCTGCCTTCCATTCCTGACGTGTCGCCTCCTCTCGGGACTTTTCTCTCAGACGTTTTTTTCCTCTACTATATTTTTCTTCTTATTTCTATATTTCCTCTCCTCTCTCAACATTATACGAGACCTGCAGAAACTATATCGTGCTCGGCCGAACACTCGAACTAGGGAAATGATACAGCCACTCATAAGCCTAGTGAACGCCGCCTGACACGGTTACAAGATAGAACCGCACCAGCCAAGCATGCATTGACAAGCTGTTTGACTTTGGAAATAAAATACCTCGTTAGTAATACAGTTGCATGATGTGTATCCGTGAGACGGTAATCTTGTAGGAACAGTAGGATCCAACGGCTACAGAGGGGAAAGAGGTACAACGAAACGGTCCAGCAGTTGGCCGTTTTGTCAGTGGCAGGACCAACAGTGATATGCAGGGCCAAGCCCGAAGACTTGCAGCGTAATCCAGATCATGCAGCGTGTGTGCTGGCTGCGGGGGTTCTGCTGCCAACCAAATTAATCAGTGGCCATTTACGTCACGCTTTGTCAAGCTCCCAGTGGACAATGGCATTTGTTTTGTAAGGCTTTACAATCAAGAAGAGGATTAGAAGCAGCCCCAAAGGCCCAGAGCCCCTCCAAAGCCGGCACTATCAAAACTAGCGCGGTTTTGTTGCTTTGCCTCATGTAAGGATGAGAAAGCATGCAGAAATGCAAATTAATGGCCTAATGGTCGTAGCTGCTCCGACTGCATCAGTACTACCTTTGTAGCTGCGAAGGGGGTTTTGCCAGCATAAAACGGGCAACTACACTGGCCGCGATACTCACGCACTTGGCCGCCTTCTCGTCGTTGTCGCCGGCTCTTTCCCTCCCACTTCGTCTTTGACACACTGCAAACGCCTCCCTGCCCTCCTTCCTTATATAACAACCCAATGCGTGCTGCTCTCCCCCGCTCGCCCATTGTGCGTTCTGGTGTCACTGCCGCCACAAAAGCTTCTTCGACCACTGCTTTCTTCTGTTTGTTTACATCACCACGCCATATCTCCCAGAACATCTCCTTTAGGATCGCACCCGCTGCCATTCCTGCAGTCCGCTACATCAGCACAACCACTCACAACTGCTTTCTTTCGTCGACGACCCTCGCGTCTCCAACATCAACCAAAATGGTAAGCTGACTGCATTTCTCGTTGTCGCTTCGGGCCTACAAGGAATTAATTGCCTGCCCATTTCCCTCGGGTAGCGTCAGCAACTAATCCACCCACACAGACGGCCAGAGGCTTCAAGGTCACCGACTGGGTCGACCCCAAGGACACGTCCGGCGAGTTCAAGCGCCAGGTCAGCTCTTTCCGCGACTGGATCGGCCAGGCCGACGAGTCCGGCAACGTCCGGTTTCCCGCCGAAAAGGACCGCTACCACCTCTACGTCAGCTACGCCTGCCCCTGGGCGACGCGCGCGCTCATCGCCCGCAAGCTCAAGGGCCTCGAGGACATTGTCTCCATGTCCGTCGTCCACTGGCACTTGGGCAGCAACGGCTGGCGCTTTGTCACCAAGGAGGACACCGATGCGCCCGGCGTGGGCGTCGTGCCCGATCCCCTGCCCGGCCACGAAGCCTTCACCCACTTGCGCGAGGTCTACATGCTCGCCAACCCCAACTACACGGGCCGCATCACCGTCCCCGTGCTGTGGGACAAAAAGACGCGCACGATTGTCAGCAACGAGAGCAGCGAGATCCTGCGCATGTTTGGGGCGGCCTTTGACGGCCTCATTGGCCCCGCGTTCCAACAAGTCGACCTGTACCCCGAGGCCCTGCGCAAGGAGATTGAGGACGCGCACGTGTGGCAGTACGACCTGATCAACAACGGCGTGTACAAGAGCGGCTTTGCCACCAAGCAGGCCGCCTACGAGCGCAACGTCGTGGCCCTCTTTGAGGCGCTCGACCGTGCCGAGAAGCACCTGTCCGAGTCCAAGGGCCCCTACTGGTTTGGCGAGACCATGACCGAGGTGGACATCAGACTGTGAGTCCCTTCCTCCCTTCGGCGGCTCCTTGTTGGGTTGTTGGGCTGTCCTTGATCTCGTTACCGACTCTGTACTGACTGCTTATTTTTCTTTCTAGATTCGTCACAATTATTCGCTTTGATGTGAGTGTTTTTTCTTTCTTTTTTTTCACCTCTGGGCTTTCTCTTCCTTTTTTGTTTTGCTAAATCACTAATTCACCTTTGACAGCCCGTCTACGTTCAACACTTCAAGTGCAACTTGTCCGACATCCGCTCCGGCTACCCCTTCCTCCACAAGTGGATGCGGAACCTCTACTGGAACCACCCTGCCTACAAGGACTCGACCAACTTCTTGCACATCAAGAATCACTACACCCAGAGCCACACCCAGATCAACCCTTTCAGCATCACCCCGCTGGGTCCCGTCCCGGATATCCTGCCGCTCGACCAGGAGGTGGCCGCCGTCAAGGCTGGCAAGTTGTAGGAGGGTACACTAATTAATATTTTCAGAGGTTGATTTTTGGATGGATGATTTAGCTCTGCCAATACTTAATTGTTTACTATCGCATGGTTATCTTTAAATACGTCGTGTTTGTGATTTATTGTTATTGACATTATTGTCAGTATTATTTTATTATTTTACCACTATATTTTACTATTTCTCAAATGAAAATGTAGCGAAAGACAGTTAGATTATTGATTCACTACCTCTTGAGGTGAAGGCAATTGGAATTCAAGACTGTCCTCGAAACATCAAACCAGTCAGCAGGAGGTGGACATACCAACATGAGATTAATGTAAGAAGCCAAAGGCCCCAACAAAGAAGCAATGCTAATACAGAACAGACAAATAAAGTAAACACCTGATAAACATGACGATGCACACAATAATATAGTTTCGAAGCAAAAAGAAAACATTGTGATTGTAATGGCCACTTCCGCTTTCTTCGCTCCCAGGCAAATTCTCCAGATGAACGAACAAAAAACAAGATAATGTAAAGACAAGCTGTTGCTACAAAGACGGCATTTTTCAAGACAAAAGTGTAAACAGAGCATGAAATCCCTGTCTTCCCGTACCCCGGAGATATGCAGAAAAAGGCAAAGAAACGACAAAAAGTAAAAAGAAATAAACGATAGGCAGTTATATGGTTATTAGATATGAAAGTATTCCAGAAAATTTGTCGCACGAAAGATAAGAGACGCCAAGGCCTTTTTACAACTGGCCAGAAAGAAGTGCCTCAGTTGCTGGAAAGAATGTTAGTACTACTGTCGTTTAAGTGAGTTGATCAGATGAGTAGAGGGTGGAGAACATACCGCTGTTGATGTAGGCACGGCGCGGGTCGAGGTTGACATTAAAGCGGCGCTCAAGCTCCTGCTTGATGCCTTTCTTGGTCACGGTCATCAGGTCGGCCGTCCGGAGAATCTCGCGGATCTCGGCAAGCAACGCATCGTCGCTGGGCATGCCCACCAGGTTCGTCATCTCCATCTCGCCGCCGCCCATGAACTGGCTGCCGCCGAACTGGCTCATTCGGTTGACGCCGGGCTGCTCGCTCATAAAGCTCATGCGGCTGGTGGCGGCGGCCATGTTGGTCATGGGCAGCGCAGACTTGTCGTGCATGGGGTAGCCAGCCGTCGAGCCGGGGCGCGACGGGTAGCCGTACTCAGACACCGCCACCTGGACACCACCAGGGCCGCCCATGCCAGGCTTCGTCGCGTACGAGTAGCCCGAGATCTCGGAGTGAGCGTCGTCGCGTGCTGTCTGAGCATCCCACAGCTCGCCCTGGTACTCCTCCCACTTCTTGCGCGGGATTGAGCTGGGATCGAATTTGCCCTCGTCGGAAATAACGACCTTCTTGCCCTTCTCGCCAGCCACCACACGGGTGTTACCCCAGTTGAAGTCGTCCATGTGCCAGAAGGAGTACAAGGGCAAACCGAAACTGAAGATGGGAATGGCCAGAACGTACATGAGCATCCAGCCAATCATCTCCCACTTGCGGTGTAGGATGAAGATGATGGCTTGCAGACCGTAAATCACACCGAGCAGGATGAACGCAGTGATGGGCACAACAGTTCCCTTGGTGGCAACAAGAACAATCAGGTAGACGATGTAGGCGAGGGTAACAGGCTGAATGATTGTCGACAGAAGATCAACCAGGACGATGAAGCGCATGGAGAAACAGCAGAAGCCACATAGCTGGGCCATGGGCATCAGTTCCATCAAGTTGTGCACAGTCGAGTTAATCCAGCGACGACGCTGCGACAGGAACACCTTCCATGAGTCGGGGGCGATCGTCCAGGCATGGGCACGGTTGATGTACTTGGTCTTGTACTTGCTGTGATGCTTGAGGAGTAGCGTCGTAAGGAAACGATCCTCACCAAGGTGCAGTAGGTTCTTCATGTGCAGCGTATCAACCCGAATGGTGGAGTAGTTTTCTACAATTTCGCGCGAAACAAACAGAGGTTTGCCCGTCTCGGCGGCCCGGATGCGGTACATGGAAAAACAACCGGGTAAACAGGTGACGGAGCCGAACAGAGATTCGAAAGCCTTGGACAGATTGTGCGAAATGTAGTACTCGTAGACCTGAATCATTGTCACAAACGAAGCCTTGGCGTTCGTCAGGGCGGTTTCACCACACACGGCAATGAGGCGCGTGTCGTCGAGGAAAGCAGAGACGAAGCGCGTGCCAGAATCGGGGGCAACAACTGTATCGGCATCAATCTGGAGCAGGAATTCGTAGAACGTAGGATTCACACCAATGATGTTCCGGATTTGATGGTACATTTCGAGTTCCAGAGGGCTCATGGCCAAGTTGTAGTGCACGCGGTTGAGGAAGCGCATCAAGATCATCTGCGAGTCACGCTTGCCGCGGTTACCAGGACGAGACACCTCAGACGGCTTGCCGATCTTGACAATGACGAGGAAGGGCACAATGTGACCCTGCACCTCGTAGAGACCGGAGTAGACCTTGCCCATGTTGTGCTGCTTCATGCCCTCGCCAAGAGACTCAAAGCTGAGCGGCTCAGGGTCGACCGTCTCAGAAACGCCTAGGATGTCCAGGACGATGCGAGGCGTCGGGCGATCGTTGCCCTGGCCAATAATCATGCCGTCACAGATAATGACGAGCAACTTGCGCTTATCATCGTAGCGCATACGGGCCACGGAGTCGATGGCACGACGCAGGGAATCCTCGTCCTCGGTGTAAGCGGGAATCTGGCACATGATGAACTTGTCGAGGTTCTCGGGCATGTTCTTGGTACCAAATTGCAGGGCAGCCAGGAACTTGAAGCCGATGACGGAGGCAAGCAGGACGGACACAGCAAGGACAAAGTAATCGGCAAAGAGACACTTCGGGGAGTTTCTCGTGTCGACATCACCCGTGTAGAACAGGTTGTCCAGACACAGCATCATGCGCGACTTCTCAGTCGATGTTAACGAAAGAGCATTCCAGTACTTGGTAACATCGTCACCGGCCTTCTGCTGGAAAAGGTCGACAACCAGCTGATTCATGAAGTTGACATCATTGGCGGAACCGCTGATAGACTCGCCGGCCGGGGCGACTAGCTGACGGCCGTTGGCAATGTAGTTGGTCATATCATAGATGCGGCCGTTGAGGATAGCAACTGACTTGCCACCATTCGCCAGCTTCGACACGTAGCTTGAGGTGTATCCGATGTTGCCCTTCTTGTAGCTGGAGCGCATCATGATCATCATCTCCGAGAACCAGTCAGGACGCGAGTCATTAGTGAAGTAGCGGAAATCATGGTACCGAGCATTCATATCTGTGTTGCTGATCGTCGTGACGGAGCCGGTGGTGTTAGTGGACTTGAAGTCCAGCGTCACCTCAGGGTTGATGCCGGCATCGGTCGTACCCTGGCACAGAGCGGAGACCTGGACAGGGAACAGGGACGTTATGTCCTCACCAGCGTACTGCGTGAGCATCTTGGGCGGCAGGTATGATGGATAGTGATGCGGGACGAAGGCGCCCAGGTCGAACACCTGACCGCGGATGGCAACGAAGGAAGAGGCACCATTTTGACCGTTCTTGGCCGAAAGCTCAGCAGCGCTGAACACATGCTGAGTTGGGCAGATAAGACGGGGGAAGGCAACCAGGAAGAAGGCACAGAAAGCACAGCTGAACCAGATGATGAAGTTGATAGCCAGCTTCTCACGCCACGCCATGCGGACATCTTTGCGAGGCATCCGGCCGATGTAGCGGATCGCAAAGTCAGGGATGAAGAAGGTGAGCAGGTACACAATGAACACCCAGCGCTTGCGCTTGGACGAATCACGGTACTCCTCGACTTCGACCATGGCCTTTTCGTTGCCACGCTCCGCCATCTGCTCGCGCGTGTCCAGGTTCTGGAACATGTCACCGGCACCGAAGGCAGACACTCCAGCTTCGGAACGAGCGTCGACGTCGTTGCTTCCAAAGTAACCAGCACGAGCCTTGTCACTAATACCAGCCGCCGACGGTGTGTTGGAGTTAGAGACGAGGCGCTCCTTGGAGGCGCCGAAGGGATCAAGCGGCGTCAAGCCGCCATCACCAGGATCCGAGGGCAGGCCATATCGAGCAGAATGAGAAGTAGCGTCAGCAAAGTGGGAAATTTCCATCCAGCAACGTTCGCTGAGGAAGACACCAGTAGCACCAATCTGGATCTCGTTGCTCGGCCAGCGCTTGTCCTCGACGACAGACTCGACCTTCTCGCGCTCACTGCCGACGAGAAGCGTCTCGGTATCCGTGAGGCCCAGGAACTCGCCAAACGGAAGGAACAAGCTGAAATCAGCAGAGCGCAGGCGCTGGCTGATCTCGGCAATGCCGAACGTCTGGATCTGAGTCCGCACGCACTTGCTGTCAAACTGGTTGGCGATGCGGCGGTCGTTGGGCTTCAAACAGAACACAAAATAGGCGTTTGTGTTGGGGGCATTGAACGACTTGGTGACATTGTCTAGCGAGGTGAGGAACTGGCCAGAGGCGCCTTGCTCGGAGTTGGCCTTGGTGTTTCCGCGGCGAGTATCGCCGGCAGGGGACGTGGCACCGCCAGCATCGCTGGCAATATCCTCGAGAGACTCCTTTTGCTGGACAGTATCAAGACGGCGACGGGCGGCGCCAGCACGGCCACCCTTTCGCGACATGACACTAGGGGCACGCATGGGCTTGGAGCTGACCGAGGCCTGCATGACAGTGGATCGCTCCTGGGGGTGGACAATGGTCTGCAGGGCCTCCTGACCAAAGAGACGGGCGACAAACTCACTCTTGGTCGAGTTGATCAGGTTCAGCAGGTCGCCGGAGATGACCTCGCCGTTCTCCTCAACAAGGCCCTTGACCGGGTACTCCACCTCACCGGCAAAGTGCTTGACAGTGAAGGAGGCGGCTGCGTTTTCGGACAAGAAGTTGCTGCCGGGCAGCTTGGCAGTGGCCGAGCTCACGGCAATAGCGGGATTCTTGCCCTCAAACCGCTTGCGGAAGCTTTCCAACAGCTGCAT